TCACGATTATACGCAGTTGATATTGAACACATCTGTGAGTCATCACTACCTTGTTGATGCACTCGGTTAGACTCATGGGACACCGCACCGGCTTAATGAGACCACATAAATGAACTTTGGACCGACTGGACTTGTCAAAAAGTATACCGTCTGTTTTTTCAGCCCCTAAGTGGCCTGAATTAGCAAGCAAACATGTTGTGGGCTTCTAATTGTCAGCAGTTGGCTAGACAAAGTGCCTGGCGTAATTAACTTATTTCGTCTTGACGAAAGTTGACCGATTTCTAACGGAACATAGTCACCCCACTCTGCCTTGGCCCTGATAGCAGCTGCGCGGTAGCTACTACTCTTAGACAGATAGTGTTGTCTGCCAAGACAAGGGATACTGGAATGACCATTTCCGGATTATAAGCCGTCGTCAGCCAGTCATACCCCGACCCAGTTTATGAACTATCCAGGGACGCTGTCTGGGCCCGACAAATAAGACCCAGGGCGGGGCGTGACAAGTAAGTTTCGTTGGCGATCGGCGAACGTTCATCAATTAGTGTCAATATCTCCCGGCAAGGAAACAAGCTCGGGGCTCAATGGTTAGCGCGTTAGACTCTGATCAAAAAGGTCGCGAGTTGTAGTCTCGGGTAGTGGATAACTTGGAGTTGCGTATAACTGATTGACGACGGCCGATAAGCCATAAATGGCTATTTTGTTCTTCTTTGACTTCGCCGGCAATAATATCTGCTCAACTCATTTCTGCTGTACAAAAGGTTTTTCGGTTAAACGGTAGGCGTTAAGGGTAGTATTACATACTCCCTTGGATTCCGTTATACACAAACATGTCGCATGTCGCGATCACAACCAAAAATAAACATTTGACCTATTAGGGACCCAGTCGTTACAACTATTACAAAGCAAGCTTGACGAGGCTCTATAAACAACTACCTAGATACAACAGAAACTTAGCATTCTTTAAGTAGCTTTTAATTACTTTTAACGTCTGGTTTTTGTTGAAATGTGCTGTTCAGTGGATATGCTATCTCTATATATGCGAAAGAAATGGCTCTCCTTTTACCACCTATTCCTTACAAAACTGAATTTCTGGGTTAAGTTGAGGACACGCATAAAGTTTCCTTACCAGTAGGCAGCCAGAATACCTGCACCTATGTTTTCTTAAGGACATTGAATTAAGCGTAGGAAACTCTTCCCCTCCACGCCTACGCAAGGGTTTCCCTGTTTCCACATTTGTATCTTTTTGTTTTTATTGTATAATTTTAATTTTTTCATAAGTTCATATCACCTCGGCTGACAACCCGTAGGTATAGTGTACCCAAATAATTACTTTACTGCGCTTTTAATTATAAAGTAAAATACTACGCGGAACAGATATGTTGTAATTGTTTGGGATTATTTATTTGGCCGTGTGCATTTCTGTTGGCCCTAGCAACACAAGCACCGTGTGAACACGCACACAAAAGCAGCCGGGGCGTGCTCTCCGCAGGTACTTTTTGTACTCACAAGCCAGAACTTCCACATATGCCAGGCCGGAGTTGGCGTAACAATGATGGCTTGAGGGTCCGTCAGGTTATAGTGAGGAGAACTCGCGTGGCATCTACCGCACTGCCAAACCTTTTTCCACCTTGGTCTGCTGTTAATACAATCTTGAACCTAATCGAAGTTGATGCAGGACTGACAAAGGCGATCATCCGATTTGCGTTTGCACCCGACTTTTTGAGGACTTTTCGGATCTTCCAGGAGCAAACAGTACCATAAGGGATGCGTTGAGAAGGAGCCAGTGCAATTTTGGCAATCCGTGATGAGCGGCCACTATTGCTGTCAGTTGTTCCATTGCAAGGGATGGTCTGCTGGACGAGTTCTTTCATATTTGCCGTTTTTTCCTCAAGTTTACCACACTTAGAGGCTTAGGGCGACGGAACGACAAGAATTCCCTGGTGGCCGCCCACACATCCATGCCAGGACACAGCTTCGATTTCGAACACGTGCGAATATTGGGTCGGTCAGACGACCGAACTTCACACCTGCTGCAGGAAGCTTGGCATTTACGCGCGGGCTCAATTAACAGTCATGTCGAGCTCCCTGATGCCTACCTCGCCTTGCGCGAGCAGATCGAGGGCAGAGGTCAATCCCGGCAGAACCGACTTACTACACTGTGAGCTGTACGTTTTTTTCATTCCTTGACAATGAGCTCGCGGGAGAGTTCGAAACGTCGGACAAATACACTCCTGGTCCCAGAGAGCGTCTTAACTTCTTCTACTTAGAAGCTAGAATATAATAACCGTCGCAACAGTTTCCTGCATGCGTCGATCGCACCCAATTAATAAGGCCTTTAGATCGTCCCTTACACCGTGCAGCAATAGCGCGGTCTTGTGTCAAGGCGGTTTTGAGTTCAAATCCCTCTCGCGGCAAATTTTGCATTTGACTCCTAGTTAGCATCATTTTCACACGACAACTGTATTTTCAGCAAAGAAAGGTTCAGATGTGAAGGGTTGCCTTATATACACAATAGAAAGCTTAGGTCGTCGCTTTGCTAATGTAAGAATACTTTAGAAGTCGAATCTCTTTACTTAAGACGATCGCTTGTACAATTTAAAAAGCAGAACTTTGACGTGCTACTAGAAAAATTTCTAACCTCGTAAACTTATTTCAAGGTTGATAAGAGCAGGCATAACAACAGAGCTATTTTAATTTTTATCTACTAAGTTACTCCAAAACTGGTATCAAAGCAGATGTGAAATAGTGTAAGGGAGTGACTCAGACTTTGTAGATTTTTCTCCTCAACCCTTCGTACCTACTAGTTTCTGGGAATTTCCCCAGCGACAGCGTTGTAGCAGTTTCATTGGTCCAAGTTCGTTTAGGAAGAGTTTGTTTGATATTCTGCTTTGCTTTTTAGAAGGTAACTGAGTGAGCAGATGGATTTAGGCCCAGACGACCATTGACGAGAGGAATACAGTGGTACGGTATGTTCAGTGAACAAATTTTGTGAGTATCCTGCTTTGTGCGTGAATCTAGTGTGCTCTCCGTAACACACTATTTTTGCTCATTGGAAACAAGTATTTTTCTCCTGACACGCCACTTGCTCAAACATTTCAAACCGCGCACGGGCAAGATTTTTTCCATAACATCTTATTTTTTTTGTTTATTTAGTCAGTTAGTTTACTTCATTGATTAGTTTAGTTGTTAAGTTTTAGTTTAGTTAAAGAAACACCTGGAGTCATCTGCGCATGATACCTGGAGCCGTTTACCGGATCTGGTGCAGTTGTGGACAAAGTTGTGGAGAACGCTAGAGATTACTCCGGAGGCGAATGGCCGAGCACGTAGCGACGGTGAGAAAGAAAGACGCTAACTCCCAGGTTACAGCTCAGTCAACGAGGCCTGGCCATATTTTCAAGTTTAACTAAACCGAATTCCTCGCAAGAGGTGAGAACCGCGTGATCGGCAAGCTGCCTTAGGCATGGTTAAAAGGCCGACCGTCTATCAACAAGCGCAACGAGTTGCTGTTCCCATAGTCCGTACTGAGACATTGTCTTAGCAGATGAATTACTCACGTGGGAAGGGCCGGGTCCAACAACAAAGCTGACGACAGCGAGCAAAATTATCACGCAATTATCAAACCCGCATCCGCCATGGACAACGGAATCACGACAATTAATGAGTCGAAAGCAAAATTTCAAGTCATCACCGCACCAATTAAGACGCCAAACCGTGGCTACAGTAGCTGATAATTATAGTTTGTATGCGGATGACCACTGCATGTATTATCCCTATCTGCGCATGTCTCGTACTATCTTCCGGTCACCTATGATTAAGGGTTCTCGACAAAATCCGCAATGTCAGGCAAGTAAACTTACCGTTCCAACAATGACGTCTACGACTTCTGAACTGCTTCCTGGATTTCATATATTCGCTTCTATCGGCCATTGGTTTAGTTTAAACAAAGGAACCCCTACCTCCGTTTCTACAGTATAGTGGTCTAAAGAAATAATGTACTCAAATCGCCACCGTCATCAGGCCGAATCCCAGGTTGGAAGCTCAAAGGCCGAAGACACCAGAAAGAGTGGTTTGTTGTGTACAGAACTCCCAGTTACAGTCTCAGGCAGCAGTGGCCACTGGCGAAGCCAGGGTTAGTTTTAACTGCGTCCAGCCAGACCTGAAAAAGTCGGCTATGTGTTGTGTTGGGTGGTGGCAGTTGGTTTTACATAACTGTGAAGCGAGTTCAAGTGGTTTGCTACTGGTGTGTTGCAATTTCCCGAAGAGATGTTGCCTGCAAAGGCCCCCTGATGCTTGGCCGCGGCTTTTCGTGTCCAAGTGTTGCAATTGCGAAACCGCGACTAGCTGGGCATGCGTATACGTGCGTGTGTGCGCATGTAAGTGTGGAACTGAAGAGCGGTAAAGCGTCTCCAGGTTAGCGAACGGGATGGCAACTGACGTTAATGCAGCGAGCATTTGGAGGGGAAACAACATAAATGGCTGTCCGCCATAACAGCACTACCCAATACCCCTACAAAAAGGAAGCCAAACTGCGTACTCATTTAC